CCGCCATGCGACCCCGATGTCCGTCAAGCGATGGAAGCGAGCTTCGCAAGGATTCATCGGGGTTGCATGATGGTATGACAAGGAATTATTCGTACAAATATAGTCACAGCTCCAAGGCAATTCCTTTTTAGGCTCCAGTAAGGCCAATTCGCGAATCCATTTCTCGTCTCGGTACTCCAATGTTGTGAAGAATACTTTACTACCACTTATTGATTTTTATTCCACAGGCTGGGTTCTCATTGATCGATCTGGCAAGCATTTTGGCACGATTCTTAACTATCTTCGCGATGGCTCTGCAGCCCTACCTGACTCCCGGCAGGATCTGGAAGAGTTGCTAGCTGAAGCTCGCTTTTTCTGCATCGAAGGTCTGCGTAACTCATGCGAAGAAACTTTGACTCGTCTGCCCTCCATTGATGATGCTTTTCCTAGGGCTAGCATCGTGATCGTCAAATACCCAAAGGCTGCCAGAGCTCTTTTAGCCTCAACGACTAAGGTAAGCTTCTTACATATCTAGCGGTTTGGAGCCTTTTTTAATATTCTATTTTGCTTTCTTTAGTCAGTAGCAATACTTTGTAATCTCATGCTTAGGTTGAAGGAATTTCAGTTTGACCTGCATTCAGAACGCTTAATAAGTTTATGAACTCCACTTAAAATCGCTATTTTTGTACTTTCATTTTTTACTGCATGCCAATGTACTAGTTTATCATTTTGCTTATTTGTATTGATCCTGAACATCACTTTGTAGGCAATGTTATAGTTTGAGCTGACTCTAAGCTTGATTGAATAACAACTGCGATTATTTTTCATATACATTATTTGCAAATGTGCATTTACTGTCTTAAATCTCTTCTCTGACTTCTGATTATTATTTTAAATTGTTGAGCTGATTTCCATTTCTTCCTATTTTATATACTTGATTTCAAAAATCTTTATTTTGCATAAAACGACACCTAACCAGATAAACCGTTTTTTACTTCTAACCTGTCAAAACTTCCTTATTCTGTTCTACTTAAATCGTATCTAAAATTTTTGAATTTATACTAGCAGGTCATTTACATTTTTAATCCATATTTGATTGTGATATGGTGGATAGGATTCTTTAGGCACTGTATTTTGAAAAATATTTTAATTATAATGATTAACTTTCGCATCTCTCTGAAACTCTGAAAGTGTCACTACTTTTTTATGTCAAAACATCACAAATTAAAGTTAAAAACTCAATTTAATTAAGCACGAAAATCCTACCATATTAGGAAGTATGAACTGTTCTATGATGCTAATTCAAAAGCTTCTTGAGACAATGGCGGATGAGATAAATCAATCAACTCATTTATCTTTGATCATCAAAATAACTAATTTCATTGCATGACATAACTTAGATTCACTCGAATTCGCTATATTTTTTATTATTGGATCTTACTCTGAGAACTTGTAAATATTTTTAGGGATCATCAACAATTTTTAGTTGCCTAGTCTGTAGTTCAGAATAAATTGTCATGGTTGCTCACTATCTCTTTAAGTGCACATTTTACTATCTTCATCTATCAGATGTGTAAGGGATATTACATTTCAGACAATCATACTGCTTTATATCTATGCCAGCCTTGTGATCTTATACAAATGTGGAAAATGAAGGGGGAAATCATCTAAAACTTGGCAGGGCAAGTTGAAGAGGAAGGAAAAGATGGTATTTGAGTAAAGGTTGTTTTATGAGCATCCAATAAAACAATTAATAGGATTTTACTTCTGTAACCACTTTTATGTGGATAATCAATACCTCATTATTGAATAATGGTTTGAATTGAAATCTAATCAACGATCCTCTGCCTGAGGAGAATCTGATACAAATATCAATGGACGTAGTCTGAGATACTTTCCTCAAGGCTTCTATTTTAATACGACTAAGCTGCAATTCGATCACATTTCGAGTCGACAATAGTCTACATTTTAACTGAGAAATAACATTTTATCCCGACATCTTTTCAACAATCTACTGAAGCTAATCCTTTTTTAAGAAAGCATGATCTCATTTTCATGTTTTAGCGAAATTCTTACTATTTACCTCGGAAAAGATTTTTTGAGCCTTTAAGCGTTATGGGTGGTATATTCAGCTCCTCGCGATTTGAATAATATAATTGGTTATTGGAATTTGAGCCTAATATTGATGTCGTGAATATAGACTTAGATCATGTAGTTTTAGGCCTTGTCGCGGCCTCTTTCAGCTGTATTGAGTTGGTGTAACGGCTTTCATAATTTGGTCGGGTTAGAAAGAGGACTCGCTGAACGAATCCTGTCCGTCCTTGCCATAAAAGTAGGGGTGATTTCCATCGCCCGACTGTGGATTTGGTACACTCTTGGACTTTTCGCTGGCATCGTCAGTGAGTCTTGCCATTCTCAGCATTAAGCTACAACGTTTCAAAGATACAAGTGAAATCAATCCAGCCTGATGGGCCAGGACAGAAAGAGGAGTGATAGCACAATCATTTTAGCAGAAAGTTGGTATCTTGTCTCTGACGTGTTGTAGCTTGATGCTGAGAATGCAAGATTCACCCACGATGCCGGCGAAACGCTTGGGAGTGTACCAAGTCCATGGTTAGATGCTGGAAATTATGATAGCAGTTATGGCACAGGACTTCGGACAAGGTGCGTCCTATTCAGTCCTTGCATCATGATTAAGTTGCGAAAACGAAGTCAGATCATTTCTATATATGGATACTATGACCAAAATAAAGGCCACAACATCTTGGTCTTTATATATATTTTTTAACTACTTATGTCTGATTGAAAGAATTGGATAGATAGAGGGTGTTGGGCTGCCCATTAAAATAAGGCGACTTAACTTGCCAGCTCAGTAGTGTTTTAACTAAATTCACTCTCTTCAACAGGTCTGCTAAGCGTATAAAGTACAAGACGTACACGATTATGAAATCGCAATCATGCATTTCTCAGAGTCACTAAAGCATAATTACCCTCAAACTAATGCGTTATGGCTGGTGGTTCCTTAACCTGATTACACGCGTATAGGATTTCATCTCATTAATTCAATCAGAATTGCTTACGGGCATGCTTTTCCTTGATGGCCCTAGGATAATTCTAGGCTCATTTGTAATCACTATTATTTGTGCCCGATATTGCTTACAGCCGTTGCAGCACGTACGCACGAGAATCAGCCGTCTTCCTGTGATATCGACCTACGAATCCCTTCTTCATACGCCTCTATACGAAATGAAAACCTCCACAGCAAAGTTATCCCAAGAGTTTTTTCGAAACCCAATCATTCTTCGTATATATTAAGTAGGATTATCATGTGATTGGGCTTTTGAATTTATGCGGAGAAGTCCTTAGTTTATTATTTTGCGATCCATTCTGAGCTTTTGAATCTCATGCGATTATTTAGAATGCACCATTAAGTAAAACTCATCAAGATACAAAATTTCATAAGGAATGCTTTC